ACAGTCAGGAAAGTATGTACAATGTATATACAATACAAATCATATGACGATAGGTCGATAGCCTTTTTTTAGAAATGAAGATGTTTACTAGTACTACTCCTCATAATATTATTTAATTAAAAATAACCTTGATTTACACACAAATGTACAACAGTAATAGAAAAACATTATTCTTTACCTGGTGATGATTGAGTCGCTTTGGTGAGCAGGGAAACGTATTGTTAGTATGTTGAGAAGTTCGAGAATTGCTGCTTTTCGAAGGTATTGGAGGTGGCTCAAAATCCTGCAAAAGTTCGTACCATTTTTTGTCTTCGTTGAACTGAGCACTCGAGGAATTCGTCAAAGTATTCTAAAGAAATATAAATATTGAATGCTTAGATGTATCTTATCTCTAAATTATTACAGGTCTTACATGTGATATAACTTATACAGTATGTCTCATTCAGATTAAAATTATATTCATATTTTCTTAGCATTTAGTGATAAGTTGCTAGTATAAAATTTGTTTCAAATATACGTCTCAAGATGCCTCCGACTAACCCTGGGGTCGGCGGCTAACTTTGGAAATCGCGCAATTCTCGACAACTTGGTTTATGGTTGATATATCACGCAAATATATCAAAAAACGTGGTCAAAACCGCACTGTACATGCGATCTTTTCTTTTTTAATTTGAATTTTTTCAAATTATTTTACAGATTCGATTTTAAAATGAATTGTTCAATATTGAATAAATACACAAGACAATATTGATTTCAATAATTTAGTAAATATGCTTACGTTACGGTCAGTGCAAATCTCAATTTTTTTATATCACGTTCTGGCGCATTAGTGTTGAATTCTGTTAAAACAAGAAGTTCAAAACGAAACCTCACGACCAGAAAATAAATTCAGCGAAATTTGGGCCTGCATGCAGCCCAACGCGATCGCGAAAATTTTATATGCTGAAGCAGGCAAAATTCAATAACTTTCAACTTTTGAATAATAATAGGATAATTCGATTGTGAACAACTAAATTTGAACGCCTTAAAACAAATTTATATATTTTTCAAGTATTACATTTGAGTTGTGCGTCACTGAAAATTAAATATGTTTGATTTAGTATTTTTGGCCCACTTCACAAATAAACTTATGGTTATAAAGAAAGAGTTTAGAAAATAATAAAAACATATTAGAGAGCTTAAAACTGTTCAATATCAATCTTGTTAAATTGTACCTCTGCAGTGTTGCCGTGATATCTATTTTCCTGGGCATAAAATGACTTGCTACTACTTCCAGTACCATATCCAGAACTATTGCTACTTCTTGGTGGTGAAAAACTTCTTTCATACACACGACGATGATTCCCAGACACAGCTTGCATTGGAGGCGCCCGTCGCGACTTCGTGTTTTCTTCACTCCCATTTGTCATGTTATCGTAATCACCTAGAACGGACGAAATTAATAATAGTTAGATACATACTATTCTGCAGAAAAGTAATATTTTGATCAAATTAAGTAGTTACCATCATAGTGAGCCTCGTTATATTTACAGTTTTGTAAGGTACAGCCTTTTCTAGGATATCCGTCAGGTAAAGGAAGTATCACAGTCAAAGTTACAGTCAAAGAGGTTTTAAGAAGATCAACCATTTGATCATAAGTCAGGGTTGCAACAGCCACCTGGGAGTTTATAAGTGATAACTTAATATTCGTACAATTAGTAAATTTGGCTAATTTACCTTGCATATCTCAACCAATCTAGAATTTTGCCTTAAACCCGCTTGCCAAGCTTGTCCTTGATTTTCTACTAAAGTTACAATACCATCTGGCTGCACGTGGAAGCCTAACTGACCCATTATATTACGACTGAAAAGGGGCATATAACAAAACGTTTATTAAAACTAAATATCTTCTAAAATTTGTCTAGTTTTTACAGAATGTTTTCTAATCTTACCTAATAGAGAATTCTTTGGCTTTAAGTCCGTTTGTCACAGCTTCTAATCTACTCATGATTTCAACCAGCTCATCTGTATCGCCATGCGTGTCCCGCATGTGTATTATCATACATTCTCCTTGATGATGGTATATTCTCAAGCTGTTCGTCTGCGGTGACCACCCTAGTATGCTTTTACAGGGAGTTACAAATACTATTTGGCGAGTTTGCTCTTCAATTAGCACGAACGAATCAGAAGAAATACCTGTAAACAATTAAGTTTGAGTAATCAAAAGCAAATTGGTAGGTTATTCAAATATAGTTTTACCTAGGAAACATTCAATTTGCTGCCCTTGACCGCTGTCGTCCAATAAAACTTGCCATAGAATGGCTCCTCTTTGACATAAATCTGGAATGAACCTTGGGCGTAACTTGTCCTTTTTTTTGCTGCTGAATATCGCTGAAATATAGCCTAAATTGTATTTTGCTAGGCTGTACTAGATAGTCTCAAACCAAGGATGGCAATGAACATTAAATTTTCCAGAAAATTTTTAATCTAACTAGTGTTATCCTTTTACCATAGCAGTAACTAAAGGTTAGACGTAAAATTTTCTACAAAATGTTAAGCAACAACATGTTGGTCGCATAAGTACTTACAAAATTTTTGGCCTGTATCGACTGGAGTGTTAGTGGAATAGTGTGAGACTAGATCTTTCAAGTATTCTTGCCGTGTTCGTGTGGCCATGGTAACAAATTTTTCAGATCTATGAGCAGCATTTTCAGCATTTACCACCTAAAACGTTTCCAATAAATTGAAAAATATTTGACAACCAGTCATATCGCATTTTATATTTTTACCTTCGCCAAGAGAAATTCTGCAAATGCTTTTCCTTTCGGAAAAACTGCACTTTCTTTTATGGGTGGCCCGAAAACTTCAACATCTTTTGATCTAGAGACCGCAATTTTGTAATGCGTATTTTCGGTACACGGATTCAATGCGTTAACAACAATAAATACGTGTTGAAATTGAGATCGTATTCCTTTAGGTGTAAACGGTTGCGCTCCTGGTTCCTAAAATCACAATGATATATATTTATAGAATTCTGTGGTGGGCATCATATTGCATAAAGTATATTCAGACATTACAATAAAAAAATATTTCCAAATGCCCCGAAAAACTTAAATTTGCATAATTAGGAAGTTTCATAGGTCAAAAGCAGTCAAAAAACTCGCATGTAACTTTTTGTTTTTTTTTCCAACATTTCATGAGTCGATGTTTTGGAAAAAACTTAAATCTCTTTAAATACCTTAAAAACCGTAAATTTGCATAATTGGAAAGCAGTAAAAAAAGTCGAATGTAAATTTTTTGTTTTATGCCCAACATTTCATGAGTGGAGGTCGATGTTTTGGAAAAATTATCTCCAAATACTCCAAAAATCGTAAATTTGAATAATTGAGAAGTTCCTTAGGTCGAAAGCAGTAAAAAAACTCGAATGCAAAATTTTTGCTTTTTATCCAAAATTTCATGAAGGGTGGTCGATGTTTTGAAAAAAATATATTATTCGAATTAATATTTCATTGCCTGACATTCAGCATAGCAAGAGCAACCAAACCATTAAAAATTGCTTAATTATTATAAGCTTATTGAGTGTATCTATATGCACAGAAAGAAATGATAGGGGTTTGAAATAGGCAGAGCAAATAAAACAATTTAATTTTAAAATTAGTAAATTTAATAGGTGGTTCAAATGGCTTACCTGAAATACGATTGTGACAATATCGTTCCCAATATGCCTCTTTCTTAACAGTTGTTGTCGATTGCTTGAAGTAAACGGCAACATTGTTGACACATGGAACATTATTTCACAATCTTGATACTGTGCATATACCGAGTAAAAACCAGTGGAATCCGCTAAGGAGATTAATTTAAATTAGTCAAGATTGTTTAGTACTTCTTAAAACTGTGGATAAATTCAGATACAATAAAAGTGGTTTCAGAAGGTCTCATACGTTAAATGTTGATTTACCTTTGGTATCTAGGCCTGCTTTGTATTTATCAAAACCTTGCAATTTCACTTTTTTGCCTATAGTTTCTAAAAATTCAGTGAATGCTGGACCCGCATCTTCATTGTTATACATTTCCTCTTCAGATGATTGCCCTGCCTTACAATACATTATGCCCACCTACAATTATTAAAAAAATTAAAAGCAGAAAAACATTTATATACCACTGAGATATACTCTTAAAATACACGATTATTCGTTAGCATATAGGTATTACGACATATGGGAGACAGATTCAGACTAAGAGGAGACTTTGATGACAAACACGTAGATTGGGGCGCAAGAATAACAAATATAAAAGGAAACGCCAATATAAAACTGGCATTCCATGGGAAAGCCAACTTACTGGTCGGTGGATGCGACGAAAATCCCAAATCTATTGCTTTTCTATTTCCAGAAAAGTACTATTGAATTATATATTAATGACTGCTTTGATCTTGAATCAGATCATTCAGCAGTAGTTATGGCTATGAGTGAAAAAATCATTAAAAGAGAAGCGAAGCCAACGCTCACCAACAAAACAACGGATTGGAAGAGCTTCCAAGCAACGTAAGCTTGAAAACAGCCGAACAACTCGAACTCGAAAAAACACCAAAGAAATTACTCACATCACTAAAGGTTTAAACAATCCGGATGCAATTCGGATTTTAGTTAAAGAGAAAAGAAAAGCAAGTTTGAGGCGGTAGTTTCCCTAAAAGGTCATCCTAGCGATAAGGCATTAGTAAATAGACAAACTCAAGAGCTAAAACGTGAAATTTTCAGATCAACAGAATTCTCTCAATTTCTTTATTATAAATTTAATGTATCAGCAGATAACAAAACTGAATATTCCTTCTGGAAGGTTACAAAGAAAGTTCGAAAACCAGTTGTGTCCTCCATTTCGACAGACATAATTGCTCCTGTTGCACCGAAAAAAGTATCTGAAGAAATTAGTAATAATCTCATCCCAAAAAAGGCTCCTGGGTTTCATTTAAGTACAGAACAAATCTTGAAACAACTACCCAGGGGATACTGATGTTAACATATCCACTAAACGCCTCAATCGGGTTAAAATATGATCGGCAATGTGGAAAAGAGCTGAAGTCATCATGGTCTCCAAACCTCAACACGATGCTAAGTTGTACAGACCAGTTTCCCTATTGGCAATAATATCAAAGCTTTTTGATATGATGGATGGTCATCTGCTGACTAGTTTCAGTAATTAAAAATTAAATTAAAAAAATCATGTGGATAGTGGATAGATTCAACTTACACAAGTACTGCTACTCATCTAATAGTAACCACTCACCTTATAATTGTTTGTTAAGCCCTGCTCATCTAGTTTTAGTAACTGATCTACAGTGGTCTGATTTTGTAAACCTAATCTAAGACAACTAAGTTGAACTTCTGGTGCAACATACTCGAGCACTTCTTTGGTATTTAAAGTCTTAGGGTTATTCGAGGCTTTAATATTGGGAATTGCATCTTCCAATACTGCCCCTCTTAAAGTTTGCAGCTCGGACGTACGAACCACCAATCTGCAATGAAAACACGAAAATGATTTAGCTTGATACAAATTTTTCAGGAATTTGAATTATAAGGAACAGAAATATATCGCTGAAATTTCTTTTAAAAATGTGTTTCAGATAGTGAGTCGTAGCAAGACATATATTTTATTATGAACTCAAGTAAGATATTCTTTCAGGAACTGTAAATTAATTGGATTGGCTATTTTGAATTAACGCACATATACGAAAGATGATGGAATCGTATCGTATCCAACTTTAACTAAGCAACAACGGATAGAACCCAGTATAATTTTAGATTTGGCCAACATTTTAGTTCAAACCGAAGCATATGCAATTGAAAATGCCAACATTTATACGAATTTCCAACTGAGATTATCGTGTAATGTAGCTATTTAAAAAACTCTCGATATATTGAAAAATATCATATAAACAACAAATATACTATAAAATAATTAGGAAAAAAACCAATCTAGACTATAAACTAGAATTAATACATTATTTTGGTTTATTTATGTAAAAAGTAAACAACCAAATATTTTCAGAATTTTATGTCTGGCAAACGTTTGGCACGAGTACAAAGAAAATAAAATTCCTATGTTAGATCCCTGCCGTTGTTAGTATTTCGTAGACAAAACATCAGTATGAACATCTTGTCTCAATATTTTTTAAATTATTGAAACTTGAATGTTTACAACTGTTATAGTTGTTCATTAGAAAAGTTCACACTGCATAGTTTACAACGGACATCATTAGCTTAACGAAAATCGAGCAATAGCCGCACGAATAACTACGTATTTTATAGATAAGTTCTATATTTTTTTACAAACTTCTTTTTCGGTATTTCGCCTCAAAAATTTTTGTCTTTAAGAAAGACAGAATTTTCTCACGTCTTTTATTACAGATTGATAAATAATCCTGCGACACACTTAGGCTCAAGCTGTAAGAGAAAATTCCAATTAGTAGAGAAATTAATTTGAAAAATTACCTTGACGTTTCGAATATATATAATATAGAATAATAATATAAAACTTATCTACAAGTTCTATATTGTTGAGGCGGATTCATTTTTTTACAAACTTCTTGTTGGGTATTTCGCCCCAAAAATGTTTGTCTTTAAAAAAGACAGCATTTCCTCACGTCTTTTATTACAGATTGATAAACCATAGCTACTCTAAATACCAGAACGTTATCAAAAACCCAGAAATTACAAGAACTCGACGAAGAACTCTCCCATATCAAATGGGATAAAGCGAACATAAAAAAACGGATGAGGAACAAGGAGAGAAGAACACTACAGAGGAAGCCACCCACCTAACGGAAGGGAAAGTCTGGTTCCCAGTACGCAAAAAGGATATAAAAGCGTCACCAAGATCTACAGTATCAGTAATAGAGTAGTGTACCTCATATACAAACTAAACACTAGATACTCGTTCAAAATTATCCAGGTATACGGACCTACATCCGCACACTCGGACGCTGAGGTGGAATATTATATGATATAAATACAGCAATACAGATATACCTACCCACCGTATAAATACCTACCCACCACCGCATGCTAATAAGGGACTTTAACGCTAAATTGGGGCATAAGGAAGATGAAACCGACACATCGTTGGGAACCCAAGGATTTGGAGTAAGGAATAAGAGAGGTCAAAAGCTTCTTCATTTTTTCTACAGCATAACAAATTTGGAATGAAAAGCTTCTATCGGCGGTTCAACAAAAATTGAATCGACTGTATCATATCCAACCGAAAGGAAACAGTGTGAGATGTGACTGGTCCGATCCAAAATGGTCAATGAAAATGTAAATGGAGACCGCTTAGAGATGAAACTCAGTATCAGCATAGAATAACATCACAGCTAGCGCATATGGAAAGTGTTTTAGACCCGAATATAGAAGGTCTGAACACACTTATTACAAATTCTATACAAACGGCAGTAAAAGAATGCCGGACACAAAGCACCCAACAAAACAAAAAAGTCAATACAAGCACTAAACAACTAATGGAAAGGAGAATAAATCTGACAAATTAAAATAGAACAAACGCAGCAGAATTAAGACGCCTAAACAGAGAAATATCCAAGACCGTACGAAGGGACACAAGAAGATACAACACAAATGAAACCTTAAAGGTCATTGAGCAAAATAAGGGCATGAAATCACTGCGGAAGCCACTCTCCGAAGGCAGGAAAAACATCTGCAAGCTAACTAAACAGAGCGGCCAAATAACCACAAACAAAATGGAAATATTAAAGGTTGTAGATGACTTCTACGCGACACTATATAGCGATAAAAAAGGCAGTGCGCTGGGATACCAGTATAGAGTTCAAAATCCAGGGTCCGAGGATATTCCCAACATTAACTTAGACGAAATAAGAAGGGCACTAAAAGATGAAAAACAATAAAGCAATTGACGACGACGGCGCAGCGGTCGAGTCCTTAATAGCCGATAGAACTACATTCTTGAATGCATTATGCAAGTTATTTAATGCTTGCCGACAAACTGGGACATCTTCCCCACAGCTCACGTCAAATGCCTTTACAGTTGAAAAGTAGAATAAAAATAATAAAAAATCAAATCAAATGTACACTTTCACATGCAAAAGAGAAATATATATATATTTATTCGCTCTTTTTAATGTAAGGCAATTCAACTGTTAAAATTGAAAATAAGAAATTATCGATATCTTAAAATATATATCACAAAATGTAGTCTAATTCTTGTCCTGGTTTGAGTCGTGATTCTCACACACTAATATATGGTGACTAATTCAAATCACACCTGTCGTACGTTGATTCATCGACAATATGTAACATTAAAATGGAAAACCGTACATCAGAGAAAAATCGCGAGATAAATTTAAAACAAAGCGTTCACATTTGTGAACACGTCGGTTTCAATGTAAACAAGATATTTTAATATTAGTGAGAAGCAGGCTGCAAATAGGAAGTTTATGAATGAATTTTAATGATGGATGCAGCTGTTTAACTTAGGAAGTATGAATGAAAATAAAATGGATTTTGTATGGAATAACGATGTTTTTAATCCGATCTGGTACAAACGTTGCTCATCGTTTGTATATCTTAGCGACTAACGGATGCAGAATTGAAAGAAACGATCAGAAAATGTTTATATAGATTATTAATTACAGAATATGGAATATTTACAGATATAAACCATACAAATGATTTCGTCGTCTATTTGATTAAATTACTTGCCTTGCCGAAATCGGATTTCTACAAATTATGTAAAAACAGTTTCCATGAAGCTGAAAATTAATTCTTGTCTTGACTACTAATACATTTTTTTCAGAAAATAACTTCCCTGTTTCGTTTTACAGCCAACATTTTACTGTCTTTAGAATATGAACGGAATCCACTTTTTAACGTAGCCAATAGTTTAAAAAAAAGTAGTCAGTTTAAAAACTGATGGTACTTTCCGCAACTGGAAACATTTAACTGGCACTAATGTTATGTTACTTTCATCACAACGTTTAAAATGTGACACTTTCATCTTTTACGTGAATATGATATATTTTCATTTTTATCTTGGCGATTACGAGTGTGTGTTGCCCAAAAAAATCCGTTCGATCGATATCCACAGCGAAGACAGCAGTTTGTAACATTGGAGATCATACGCATCAATGAACTCGCTTCTGTTAATTTGTTGCTTTTCGCAAAATTACAGTTTAGGTTGCTCGTTGTATATACTCGAAAAACAATTAATATAAGCAGAAAAATTAATTTTAAACAGGGTGTTAAAAAACAAAAATATTTTTTTAACATGGTGAAAACTGAAACTAATTTTTAAAGTCTATATAAACAGCTTCATTCCCGTTTATTTATATAAAGAATATATTAATTTGTTGAACGGGTGAAAGAAACTGACAAGAACTAGTTCTAGATAAAAATATTCCACTGTGAACAGTGGTGATTGAAAAGAAAAACATGAGGCTTTAAAATAAAATAAAAAAACAGGAAAATAGAAAAAGTTTGTATTTATACTTGCTCGGGAATAGTAATCAGAAATTACTAATTTTAATTACATATTAATCACATGTACTTTTTTATATACAGGGTGTCCCGTAAGCACGTGATCAAAAGGGTACAGCGATCTTTGGATCAAAAGAAGACGATCTGACTCTGATCTAACTTTTATTAACAAAAAATGTCTGGCTCCTCTGCTATTGATGGTCAGTTCTTCAAAAAAAAATAGATTTTTTGAAATATCGGGAGAATGGTATGATGTATTTTGGTGAAACTCGCTGTGAATTTGTTCTTATCTGAGACCCATATTTTCCTGAAACCATCGAGTTCAGCCGCTTTGGACAAGTGGTGAATTCTTGAGTAGAGTCGTGGTACAAAAACTACCAGAACCATTTATTTGGTGGATGGAATCAACTCATTTTTTTTGGTTTATGCACTAATCATTTATTCACAATTTTGTGCTGTTTGAAAAATCTTGTAGCATTCATAGATTTTGCTCAAAAAAAACATGTGCTTTATTGCCACTTAACAATGTTAGACATTAACTGCAATAACGATTATTTGGCGTATTTTGTAAAAAGGCAAAAACTTACCTATTAACAACCTAATACCATTCGATAAGTATTTAAAATTTTCATTTCCTGGTATTATTTAAATTAATCAAGTTATAGCCACTTAAAGTTCTAATTTAATTAGTTTAAATTTGTGGACACCATGTATAACATGGCAAATTTATTATCATTGGGATATAAAATATGATTTCTTGTTACATTTCGCTACAAATTACGCTTACATAACTTAAATAATTCTAAAGTATTTGACACATAAAAATAAGATTAGATTTTGATAAAACCTTAAAATGTATGTATTATAAACCTTATTAAAACAAACACTTATTTTGCTCAGAGAATCCAAAAATGCAATAATGTATAGGGTACTTTATTTAAAAAAAACACAACTTGTGGCTTTTGGGACACTGTGTCATTACAAAAATATTTTTAAAATGTGGGTCCGGTAAGCGTCTCTCAATTCATAAAATAATACTTTTTAAAAATCAAACGGTTTAGCCGCAAACTTCCGTGTCGTATAGCGTGAATAACCCGGTATATTTTTTGGTTTAAAGTTGAATTTTTGCGATATCAGGCAATAATAATTATAACTTAATACTTTAAGTTATAATTATTATTATTAGTTATGGCATACTTGCCAAAACTCCCGCTTTTATAAAACTCACCTATACTGGTACTGCGTAAGGGTAGTAGTCAATTGGTTCTCAGGATGTATAACTTTTTCTCGCTTTATTGAAATAGCCACAGGTCCGAGCTGCTCGTCCATTCCAAACCAGTTCTGATGTTCTGTAAAGGAAACCACAATTGAAAAAAAATCATTAATGCACTGACATACAGGAAATGGGCAATTTTCGTATATTCAATACATTTTCTGTATGTCTAGATCAATGTACAGTAATCCATCATTCAAAAAGACTGGATTAAGAAATGATAAATACAAAACATTAGTTTTGAAGTCAGGTATGTAATAAAAAAGTGAATTGATAATTTTTATAAAAACATTAAAGCTGTAAGAAATTTTGCAAATTATTCCCCAATTTTTAAAGCACAAAGTTACTACACTTGGGTTAACGCAAATTTATTTATATAGGTTAATTAAAAAAACATAACATTTTTATTAGCTCATTTTCATCTTGGTTTTAAAAATAACATTAAAGTAAATATTGGCTGGCTGTTTGGTATTTAAACAACATAAAAGCATTTTAGTTTATGCTTTGATATTCTTAGCTAAAACATCACTTTTCTTGACTCGCTTTTCACTAGCTGATTATCTGATTCTGGTGAAAAAGCAGCTAAAGTAACTTTACATAAATATTTTATTATTTTAACCAAATGTACCTCATGTGTTATTTGCAAAACATGCATTTTCTCGAAAAAACATCCTACGCGAAAATTTAACATTTGTAACTAACACTGAGTTTTTCAAAATTTGAGAATAACGTCATACAGTTTTCTTAAGCATATCCAAAGATTGTACGTAATTATTTTGATTGCACAAATATTTTAGGAAAAGGCTTAGAACGTAATGTAAAAAATGTATACTGTACTGTACTTTAGACAGCTATAAACATGGAGCAAAATATAAAAATTCTACGTTTGGCAGTTCTTGAATATAACACCAAAAACAATCTCATCCTCCTATGTTGAGATTTTAGTATGTTTGCAGTGGGGTTCAATTAAAAAAAAAATATTCGCAGGATCTTCATTTAAAATTACTTTCTGAACCATTAACGTAATTAATAATCTTTATAAAATACCCCTGACATATTAGCTCATATGTTAATTTAATTATCGGATACGGGGGCTCAAATTAAATCATGTAATAAGAGATACCTATAATGAAATATGAGAAAAATCGACAAGAGGTATCTTAAACGAGAATACCTGTTCTCAGTTGGAACGGAAGCAAGCTAAACGCTACAGCTATACGTTTACACTCTGGTAATGAACTTTTATCAATTCCCGTAGTAAATTTGCAATAAAAATCAGTAACTTACTGCAGAAAATAGAAGTAGTTATATAAAATTAAATTTATTCCATTCCATAGATACCAAGCAAATCTCCTAATTACCAGTTCAACATGTCGACAGACTGTCGGCCATAAATTATTTAAAACTCAGTCGAGAAGTAGGTGTACATCTTCAAGTTCAAAGTATTTCAGGTTTACTCGAGATTTAAAGGTGTCATCGGAACGGCGAAGGCGTTTGCAAGTGACTTTCGTTTTACAAAAATAGCTGGCATGTTTCTTGCTCAGTATCAATGTCAATGTCTTTATTACACAAACTTGTTACGGCATCTCTTTCGATTTGTTTATCCGTCTTAAAGTATCAGCTATTGGGTATTCATTATTTCTTTTTATTTCGTTATGTGTTCTCTGTGTCCGAATTTGTTATGTTGTAACCCCCCTCTATGAGCTTACACCTCAATAGCTTCAATTTTGAAAATTATCTTTAAATTCCGCACTCTGTGTATATCTAAATATGCCAACTGACTTATGTATTGCAAATTTAATGAAATATGTAATATATGATAATCTATTTTTATAGACTGGAAAATTTTCTTAGATTGCAAGCAGTCGTTGAAAATAATTGCCTCTCGACGCTTAGCAAGATGAGTGAAGGCTCTCTGTTTTGAGCAGCCAAGCCTATAGAGAATCAAATAGCGTAAGTTTTCAAATGTTTTGCTCTCCCAAAGAATCTTTTCTCCTTACGAACTAATGGATGTTTTAATGCTTTCTAAATTACAGTTTTTGTGCAACATATTTTAGTTGTAAATTGGTGTTTGTAGTTTATTTTCAATTTGTTTCTATAGGCTTGGCTGTTCAAAACAGAGAGAGTTCAAATGTTTTGTATGTGGAAAAGTTTTTCAAATGTTTTTCTCTCCCAAACAATAATTTCTCCTTAAGGACTAATGGATGTTTTAATGCTTTCTAAATTATAGTTTGTGTACAACATATTTTAATTGTAAATTGGTGTTTGTAGTTTGTTTTGAATTTTAATCTGATGATGGCGCTACGCGTTCACACGTTAAAGTCACAGTTTAAAATAAATCACGTTTCCACGTTCACGTTCACCCGTTTAAAATATTAGCAGTTGTCTATAGAAACATACTTACAACTGCATCTTCAAATTTACTTTCAGCCAACTTTATTGTAAGTCGGACTAAAAACTCCATCGAACATGGAACGCAACGCAAAACATTTAAAAGTTGATTAATGTGTTTATTAATTTTTTTCATTGAATTTATTGGAGTATACTATTTAAAATACTTTACAGAATACAGACAAGGCATATGCATATGTAGTATTGTAGTCTTCGCAAAACATATTCATACCACAATATCAACAGTTACCGGCATGTTTGTATTGCATGAGTAGAGTGAGTAGTATTTAAGACTTCAAAAGGAAGGTAAATAAAGACCATTAGCGTTGGCTCGAAATTGCTTCCAAAGAACTTAGTTTAGAATCTTTTGAACAATGTGGTAAACCAAGTGTTAACCCCATAAACAAAATTTTAAATATAGGGTTGCGTAGCATTTAACTTGCCTTTTAAATGAATGTCATGTTTATTCTCTTTTGAAACTGGTCTCTTCGATTTTTATGTATATTCGAACTTTCAATTACGAAATGTTGACGGCATCATTGTTAATAAATCACGTCGATTTGATTTCTCTGCAAGGTTACTCTCTATGCTCTTGATTACCTTTTGATAAAGAATTCGTTCTTAATTGTGAAACAATTCTGTCTTTTTTAAAAGCCAACATTTTTAAGCGAAATACCCATAAGAAAGGTTTTGAAAAAATACTATTATGTTAACAAAAAGTGTTCATTAGGACGTTTCATTCTCATTTCGTGAATGTGTATTTATCTTTCTATAAAATTTGGTGCGGATCGCGAGAAGAATTGAAGAAAGAAAGAAAAGAAAGAAGAATTTTTGAGGGACAATGAATACACTTGAAAAAACAGTGTTTACTGTAAAGAACCTGAATTATGTAAAAGTCTTTCCTATCAATTTTTTTCAAAACCAAACTAAATTTTCCTGAAACTGATCGAGTTTTCTCCAAGATCAGATTCCTAAGTCTGATGTCTAACATATACCCAACTAATATGACCATAAGATACAATATTTAACATTAATAAAACAAATATGAGTTTCAGCAAATGAGTATAGTGATTTTTGCCCGTGGACGTCGAAAAGTTAACGCCGGAACAGGTAACCAAACAAGACCGGACAGAAAGTCAATTGTAACCGCAAGTACGATTTCTTTTCCAATAGGTTAAGCTTAGAACAAAATAAATCTTAGAAACCGTTCTAAACGAGAGCTCTGTCGTCAATTTTAGCAAACTTGAAACAGTTCTTTGACATACATATTTTACACACTTATAAATAAACTTACCTTGTCCTGAAAAGTGTTTTCGATAATACAGAGCTCCTTGATCAACATTTTCGATGGGCCTCGGGAACCTTTGATAAGGACATGTGGAATGCCGCCAATGAGTTTCACCTAAGCAAGTAGAGAAAATATTGCAATTTAGCCAAAATACTCCAAACCATCGTAAGAAAATTAGAACACAGACTCACAGAAAGCAAATGGAAATAATTTGAAAAAACCCTTGCCACTGCTTTACGTGTGAACGTCGCTAAAAGAAAAATATTCGTAGAAAGGGATGCTTAAAGGTTGCTTAAAAGTAGTTGTAAAGTTTAGAAAACTCGCTAATTAACAGTAGTACCGAACTGCTCGTATTGTGTTCAGTCAATAAGCGATGCATATTTTCATATTTAGTAAAACATACAGAATAATACTATATAACTTTCAGGCTACTTGAGATATTTGACAGTATTTTGCTTTTTGCTAAAATCTCATCAAAAATAATGTAAACTTTTGTTTTACTACAGGGTGACGCAAAAGTTCGGAGACAAATTTCGTAGATTTAAATATCAATGGTATTTTTGACTTTGTGTGTTGTTGACATTTAGCTTATTTTGCAGCCTGTTAAATTATCTGCAAGCTACGTTTGTTTCCCATGTTAAATGATGTTTTTACGTTTGTCGCTATGAGCCGTGAAACAAACCGTGTTGCCGTCGTGAAATTGTTCGAATCGGAAAAGTTGCCGACTGACATCACGAAACTCCTCGGTATTCCAAGAACCACGATCTACAAAATCATTAAACGGCAGACACGAGGGGGCACGACGGCAGACAGGTCTAGAAGCGGCAGACCAACCACCTGAGCTTTCGAATTCGCCGGAATCATGGAAAACCCATAAGAAAACCAAGGAACCCCAAAGAAAACGGGCCAAGCATATGGGTATTAACAGAAAGGCGGTCAGGAAGGGCCTAAAGCTTCGTAGCTACAAGCTCGGAAGAGGTCATTACTTGGATGAGCGAATGAAGCTAGTACGACTCGGAATGCGCTGCGATTCCTTGAAAAAAGTCTTTCGGGTCAAAGACGCCGCTGGTGTTCATCGAGCGCGGTGTCAAGATCAACGCCCAAGTCTACCAAAAACGCATTTTGAAAGACGGCGCTGAACACTTGGATTGGACCCCGGCTCATTCTGCGAAGTCGCCCATGGATTTTTGCAAAACCAACAAAATTGCCGTCCGGGACAAGATTTTGTGGCCGTCCAACTCGCCCGATCTGAATCCGATGGACTTCGCAATTTGGTCGATCCTGGAGCAAAAGGCCTGCGCTACAAACAACAACACCGTCGAGTCCCTGCAGCGTTCTCTCCAAAAGGCGAGGGACAAAATCTCAGAAAACATTTGCGACCATCGTCAAAAATTTCCGCAAGCTCCTGCAAGCCTGTGTGTCGGCTGAAGGTGGCCATTTCGAATAGGTGTTTATGTATTTTTTAGATCATTTTGTTGGCTTTCGCGTGTGTAATTTTGTTGTTTAATAAAAAAAGTTATGATTAAAACAAGTTGTGTCCAAACATTTGTGTCACCCTGCATATCGTGGTTCCAACTTGCAAGAAATTGGTAATTTTTGGCAGTCACACCAGCGAAAATTAGTTTTCGAAACGTCGGTTTCAACTTCGTCTTCTAAAATAGCTATATTTCTTGACGAAAGATTTTTTCTATCAAATTCATAGCTTTTTACAGAAATAGTACACTTTCAAATAAAAGTACCTGGAGGAAATTCCAATATAGCCACACCATACGCCAGCTGTGGCCTATGCAGAGGTTTTCTATGGTTTTTGGTTCCGTTTTGCAGCCTGGAAAGACTCACAATTCGTTCCTCTTCGCCACCAATTTCATTGCGAAAGAACGGGCAACTTTCGACCAACTCGTTTGATTGACCATCACCCCCATCGTCGTCACCTTCACCTAGCATAAACGGAAATAATGACTATTTAAGCAAGTAAAAACTTCTGAATAAGGTTTTATTTAGTTGCAACCGTTTTTTTGTTTGAATTATTTCATGCTTATAGAGAAACAAGGTATTGATAGTTTAACTTGAATGCCGAACTTTGATTCCAATATTGGTTTCATTGTAAATATGTATATGCAACTTTCAAAGTTAGTTGCCCGAAATGATGGAAATACATTTTTAGACAATCCAATAAAAAAGCGCCATCACATTTCAGTATTTTGGCTTTACTGTCAGAGAGAATCCCATCTAATTCTTATTTTAATGCAGGACGTAGCTGGCCTTGGTCGCTCGTGACAAAAAAGCAATTTCCAGGGTCTCCCTCTTTAAACCTTCTTATAAATTGTTTTGTCGGAATTCATTGTCTGGCAAAATGTTTAATGAGGGTCAATAAATCGGTGTAACTTTAAACAAAACAATTCAGCGGAACACTAATTTGCAACGATGTCTACGAAACGAATATTATCAATAGCCTTACCATCCGGTGTTGACGACCTGATTAACATAGACGCTGCGGATGCCCCCGTGGTAGTGTTTCTTCTTTTGGCCAAATGATTTCTTCGTAATCGTACCGCATAATTAAGGTTCGTCGTCAAAGATTGACAGTCGTAATGGGCAAAGGCTCGCCTTCTCGCAATTTCTTCTGCTTCCTGAGAATACACCACGTTGTTTGTAGAACTACTCACAAGGCTATCATCCATGGTTTGACGTTGGGATTTTACCATGCTGCTGTTATTTCCGTTAATACCTGAAACAATAACATTTTTATTTTTTCATGAAACTTACCATCACATGCAAATTACTCATAGCTGGGATATCCCAGCTATGAGTGGTGTTTTGGGAGGAAAGGGAAATATTTTGGGAATGCGTACAGCAGGTCTAAATGAAATAAATGAACTCATATGGTTTAATCCGATTCTTAACCGGTTCTGAAATTATAAGTTCTAAAGTTTTTTTGTAACTATTTTAAGCAAAAAGCAATAAGTATAAACAAATAATTGTGGCATAACAGCAAGCTTGTTAATATGTCGCATTGTACGTTGAATTGCTTGGGGATGGTTTCTAATGATATTCGCAGTATTTAAAATTTCATTATGGATTCCTTTCACGGTATCTACTCTTGTTTCGTGTACTAAGTAGTGATTTGATCCGCCCCCAGACGGCAGTAATCAAGTGGATTTAAGCCTGGTGATCTCGGCGGTCAAAAATGAGGCCCTCCTCTGTCAGTACAACGACCACAAAAATTATTATCCAAGAAATTACGAACCCGGCGAGTAAAATGAGGCTTGGCTCCATCATGCTGAAAGTACATTCGGTGATGAAAAAATTAAGACTAACATCATCCAACATGTTCGTTAAATAGTCTTCCAAAAACCGCAAATATCTGAAAACTAATGATAAAAATTAAAAACACCCTTAGTTGAGTGACGGTTAAGAATCGGGTTAATCCATATGGGTTTATTTACCTTATTTTGAGCTTCTCAAAGCAATTTATCTAATATAACTATATGCTATTCTTTTACTCCATGAATTTAAAAATGGAGACAATGAGGACAATTCTATCAATGAACAGGGACTTTAAAAGCGACTTTTAAGTGTTCAGAAAACAAAGGATGCTTTAATTTTTTTATGATTAGACAATTGAAATTCGTAATCTTATTGAGATTATTATTATTTCAATAAAATGTTCGATGCAACACTCACTAGCTTATATGGAAGTTATCTTAAAACTAAAATATAAATAATAGATCTTAAAACAGCGTATGTGCAATTCAACCTCTCGTGAGAACACAAAAGATATGAATAAAAGTCAAAGAAACGTGAAAAACAGAGCAATGATTAAGGGCCGATAAGCAATATTTGCTTTGAATTTAAAATTCCTCCAAATTAACTATATAATATTTCATTGAAGTTTAATCCTGTTAAAAGAAGAAATGAAAATTTAGTAATAGATATTGGATACAGAGATAATTTTTTAACGAATACCTATATAGTCAGAAGAGATAAAATGAATTATTTCCACCAAAATACACAGCTGCAAAATATTGTAGCTTCTGCTACTTAGAAGTGGTTAGCAGCTGACCAATCTTCAAATGCATTCAACACAAGGGCGGATCCGGTCATGACCCCCCCCCTTTTCCTGTGTTTTTAACGACTAACGAGAATTTTTCTAATTTCATGGACA